CTTTTCCCAGCCTGGGGAAGAAACTGGACAATTCAAGGACAGAGCTCCTGCCCTTTCCTGCTTCTCTGAATGTGCCATGGTCCTGGGGCTCTGGCCCTGCTCCCCACCCACCCCCACCCCCCACTGGTTAAACAAGGTTTTGCGATTTAAAAAGATAATTCTGAGCAGTTGTATCTGTAAAATAACAATGGCTGCCTTGACAGAGTTTACGATTTACCAGGCCCTGTGCTTTGCTGCTCAGGTATGGTATCCCCGTTCAAAGAAGAGACAATGCATATCCTAGAGCAGTGGTTCTCAACCTTCCCAATGCCGCGACCCTTTAATACAGTTCCTCATGTTGTGGTGACCCCCAACCATAAAATTATTTTCGTTGCTACTTCATAACTGTAATTTTGCTACTGTTATGAATTGTAATGTAAATATCTGATATGCAGGATGTATTTTCATTGTTACAAATTGAACATAATCAAAGCATAGTGATTAATCACAAAAACAATATGTAATTATATATGTTTTTCCGATGGTCTTAGACAACCCCTGGGAAAGGGTCGTTTGACTCCCAAAGGGGTCGCGACTCACAGGTTGAGAACCACTGTCCTAGAGGCTAACAACTTGCCTTAGGTTATCCCACTAGGAAGAGGTGGGTCAAGATTAGAACCCAGACCATGCTGTTCATGCTGATTTGAAGGGAAGTGGCAGTGGGGATGGGGGGACTAGAACCTCTGGATGAGGTTAAGGGGGGAGGATAAAGCAAGGGGTGGCCCCAGGTGCTATGCCACCTGACCAGGCTTCCAGGACCATCCCTGGGAGAAAGGGATGGTGACATCCTCCTGGCCAGAACTGGCCACTTCTCCCCACATAAAACTCTATGGGCATTCTGAGCCCAAACCTAGGAGGAGCACTGAGCTCTGGGCTGGAAAGGAGGCAGTGAGAACTTTCTGGAGCACCTCCCCCAGCAGGATGAGCTGAAGACCACCAAGGAGGTGTTAATGAAACAAGGAAGCTGCGAACAGACCCAGGAGTGATTCCAATCTGACACCTCTACCCCAGCCCCCACCAGTAATGAGCTGGGACCTGCCCTGCTCCCGAGAGAGAGGAGGTGTAGGGGAGGAGGGGAAATCCTTGGGCATCTTTGTAGTTTCAGATGCCTCTTTTCATCATCTTCACAGCAAACACACATTTATTGAGCATCTACTGTGTCCCAGGCACTGTGATGTCATGTTTCCATTTTACAGATGAAGACACTGAGGTTCAATCAGGTCAAGTGGCCTGAGGAAGAGCTAACATTTGGACCCAGGACTGTCCAACTCAGAAGTCTGTGTTAATGCTTTTGCTACTGTGCCTCTGACATGGACCCATGCTAGGTCCTCAGCAGGAAGGTGGGTAGGGTGGGAATGTTCCCATCTGGGGATGGATCCAGGAGCCCAACCCTGGGGGCACTAGGAGTGGGCCCACACTTCCACGAAGGGAGGTGAATAAAGGAAGCACACCCAGCCCACCACCTGTCCTGAAAGTTCAGACCCGGGAAGGAGGAGCAGGCTCCCTGTGTGCTCTCTTCATCTTCCACGAGTGTGCAGAGACAGTGGGGCAGGGGGTCCAAGGAGGGCCTCCAGCTCTGCCCACTGCCTGGAAAGGGGATGCAGACTGGAGAAGACTGAAGTAGTAGTGGAGGGGGGTGTACTTGGAAGACCCCAGCCTCCTGGCCTGGGAGGGAGGGGCCAAGCAGCTCTGTTGAATGGAGCCCCATGTTTGTAAACATCAATTATCAGGGATTAGCAGATGGGCATGCTAATTGCACCTGTGGAAGACAGAGACCTCAAGGTTGATTACATTTACAAACTGTGAGGCCCCCCTGGCGCCTGGCCCTGCAGGAGTGTGTGTGTTTGTGTGTGGGGGGGTCTAATTTAGGACCCCAGCGGGGGGGGGGGGGGGGGCGCGAACTTGTCAATTTAGCCTCCTGCCAAAAGAGAAGTCCAGCCCTGGAAGGAAGCAGGGGTGTTGGCCACAATTCAGCTGCTCTGGAAATTCTAAGGCAGCCTCCAACCCTTCGGGGACCCTCCCCATCTTGGCTGTGGAGCCCAGACAAGGAGGATCCTGCAAATGCCATTTCAGCCCCTCCCCTCTCCAATTCGCTCTAGTGGTTTTCAGAAGTGAATCATTGAGTGTTGCAGCTGAAAGAGACCCTAGAGCAGCGGTTCTCAACCTGTGGGTCGCGACCCTTTTGGCAGTCGAACGACCCTTTCACAGGGGTCGCCTAAGACCATCCTGCATATCAGATATTTACTTTACAATTCATAACAGTAGCAACATTACAGTTATGAAGTAGCAATGAAAATAACTTCATAGTTGGGGGTCACCACAACATGAGGAACTGTATTAAAGGGTCGCGGCATTAGGAAGGTTTAGAACCACTGCCCTAGAGCCTATGGGGAAATTGAGGCTGGGTTGGTAGGAGAGAAGAGCCCAGTGCCCTGACCTCTGGGTCTGCACCTGGGTGCTGTGAGGACAGCCACCATGTCCCAGGCACCAGCTGAGGTCTTCACGCGCATCATCTCATTTCATCTGCACCAGGCTCCTTGGAAGTAGACACCACGGTTATCCCCATTTTATTGATGAGGGAAGTTAGACTTGGAAAAGTGAAGGGACATGTTCACATTTACACCATCGTCAAGGCACAGAGTTGGGACTCAGCAAACTGCCCTGGCCTCTCGTGGCTTCATCCTGACCCTGCCCTCCAGGGATGGACCTGCGTCCAGCACCTTCATTCCCTGTCACAGCCCCTGGAGCTCCTGGGTATGGACCACACCTGGTGAACAGTGTCATGTGTCAGCTACCAGCGGCCACGCCAAGGAGAAGCAGGCCTCATCCTGGGCCTTGGGACCTCAGGTGCCTTCTCTGTTTTGAGAATGCCTGGTTTGCATAACAGAACTACATCCTGGCTGTGTATGGCAGGTAATTACAGCCTCAATAGTTCTGGTTCAAGTGAACCTATCTTTCCAGAGACCAGCCAGCCTGCTGCCCATGGATGAAGCAGGGAGGAGCCCCCTGTGCCTGGCTATTAGCCCAGGAGAGTGACCCCTCTAGATGGCCCAGACCACAGGGACCCAGCAAGCTGATAAATAGCATGCTCCAAGCAGGTCAGATAGGGTTCCAGATACCAGAGGAGTCCATGGGCAAGACTAGGGGCTCTGGGCCCTGAGTACCCCCAACCCCAACTTCTAGTTTCCATGCTGGGTTTGGGTCCCTACATGGAAGAACTCCAGGACACCTGAGTTTATGTCATCAAATCTGTTAGTCTGGGTTCTTCAGAGAAACAGAACCAATAGAAGACACACACACTTAGCTATTTATTTATTACTAGAGGCCCAGTGCACAAAATTTGTGCATGGGTAGGGTCCCTAGGCCTGGCTGGTGATCAGGGCCAATCAGGGCCTTCCTTCCCCCAGCTGCTGGCGTGACCTTCCTTCATTCTGCGCCACCCCCTGGTGGTCATCACACATCCTAGCGAGCAGTCGAACACCCGGTCGAACTCCCAAGGGGACAATTTGCATATTAGCCTTTTATTACGTAGGATAGAGAATTGGCTCATGTAATCATGGGGGTTGGCACCCCAAGTTCTGTAGGGTGAGTCTCATGCTGGAGGCCAATGATGTCATTCCCATCTGAAGGCCAGCAGGCTCGAGACTCCAGAAGAGCCTGTGTTTTCAGTTCAAAAAAAAACCCAGGAAGAGTTCTCCTACTCTTGGGTCAGGCTTTTTGTCCTATTTAGGCCTTCAACTGATTGGATGAGGCGCACCCACATTAGGAAGAGCAATCTGTTTTACTCAGTCTACCAATCTGAATGTTATTCTCACCCAAAGTCACCCTCACAAACACACTCAGAACGTTTGACCAAATATCAGGGCACCATGGCCCAGTCAAGTTGACATATAAAGTGAACCATCACACTGTTGTTGTGTGCCAGTCCTTAGTGCATAGTTCTTTAGTTTACAGAACACTTTTTTTGTTGTTAATCCTCACCCTGAGGTATTTTTCCCACTGCTTTTCAGAGGGAGTGGAAGGGTGAGGGGGGAGAGAGAGAAACATTAATGTCCAAGAGGCACACTGACTGGTTGCCTCCTGCACGTGCCCTAACCGGGGGTGGGGAGTGAACCCACAACCCAGGTATATTCCCTGAAACCCTTGGGTGAGCAGGCCAACACTCTAATTACTGCTCAACACTGGCCAAAAACATGTTTTACTGACATGCTCTCATCTTACTTTACAACATCTCTGCTGGGGAGGGGGCAGCTGGAGCAGGTGCTGATGGTGCCCTTCCCATTTTACAGGTGTGGAGACTGAGAAGCCATCTAGGTAAGAAGCCATGGAGCCAGGGCTAGAGCCAGCATCTTCTAAAAAACCCTAGGGACAGATGAAAGGTTGCCTAGCGTGTGCTTCCAGACATGCCCTCAAAAGCACGGTGTGAATGATTTGGTAGAGGTTTCTTGGATATGAGTGGGTAGCTGGAGGAACAGTGATTCTCAAACCTGTCTGCACACTAGCAGGGGAGCTGCAAGAAATGCGTGTACCTGGCTTGCTCCCCACAGATTCTGATTTCATCAGTCTGGTGCCTTTGGGATCTGGAATATTAAAAGTTATCCCCCTTCCCTGATCCCATGACTCTACAGTGCAGCCAAGGTACAAAGCCACTCTAGGCTCTTGGCCAAGAGCACAGCAGGGATGGAGGAAACAGGTAGTATGTCCAAGGTTGACTTGTGCCAGCGGAGGTCAGAGCCTGTGTGCCAGATGGGGACGGACAGTTCAAGGGAGGATGGAGAGTGCCAATAAAGTAGTTATCTGTGGAGTTTATGAAGGGGTTTCTTCTTTTCTTGAGAGGATCAACTTTGACTTTAAAGCAATCTTAGGCCCTTTTTATTTTTTTCGTTTTTCTTAATATATTTTTATTGATTTCAGAGAGGAAGAGAGAGGGAGAGATAGAAACATCAATGATGAGAGAGAATCATTGATTGGCTGCCTCCTGCATGCCTCCTACTGGGGATCGAGCCCACAACCCTAGGTATGTGCCCTTGTCCGGAATCGACCCTGGGACCCTTTGGTCCGCAAGCCAACACTCTATCCACTGAGCCAAACCAGCTAGGGCTAGGCCCTGTTTAAACAAATTCAAATGTCTTTCTAAATTGTCATTACCATTAGAATTCCAAGATAAATGCAGTCCACAGAGAAAGGGCAGTACTATTTACTGAGCACCTACTATGCATGAGGCACTGAGTTCCTGGTGTCCTCTGAATCCTCCTAGCAATCCAGAAGGACAGGGTTACCCCCTTTCACTGAGGAGGGCACTGAGGCCCAGGCAGGTAAGGAACTTGCCCCAGGTCACACAGCAATCAGGATTTGAATTTAGGGTTGTTGTCCTCCAGATCCACACTCCAGAGCAGTGGTTCTCAACTAGGGGTGACTCCCCCACCCACCCTCCAGGGACATACGGCAAGGTCTAGAGAGATTTTTGGTTGTCACAACTGGAGGAAGGGGGCTGCTACTGGCATCTGGTAGGTAGAGGCCAGGGGTGCTGCTAAATATCCTACAATGCACAGCACAGTCCCCACAACAGAGAATTATCCAGCCCAGAATGTTAACAGCGCTGAGACTGACAAACCCTGCTCCAGGTTCTCAGCCTGGGCTGCACATAACACCTGTGGTGGGGAAGGGGGAGGCTTTACAAATCCTGATGCCCAGCTGCTCCCTAACCAACTAACTACATCAGACTCTGGGGATCGGTCCCAGTGTCAGTTGATTCTTAAAGCTTGTCAGGTGGTTCCAATGTGCAGCCCAGACTATTTAAACTACTTACACCTGTGGCCTCTGTTCCTGGGGGACAAGTACCAAATCGTTCCCAATAACAACCAGCAACCCTATCCTCGCCACCTCCCAGAATCGAAGACCAGGCTTCATTGGTTCCTTCCGTGTAGGTGGACTAACTGCTGACTCACCAGTCAGGGGGACTTGAGGGCCAGTGGGGTGGGAGGTGTTTGCTAATCTTTCCCTTGCCTCTTGGAGGCCACGGCCAGGGATCTCCCCAGCTGACTGCAAGAGCTTCCCGAAAAGACCCTGGACTAAAGAGCAAGGCTGCCACCTAATGGATGAATCGAACAGAATGGCCCACCAGTTGAGGTTTTATTTGAGCCTCACAACAGCCCTGAGAGGGAGGTGCCAACAAGGGCTCTGAGGCATATAAAGATGAAGTCCGTGCTCAAGGCCCCGCAGTGGGGCAGGGTGTGAGCCTGGATTTGCACCTGTCTGGCCCACAAAGAGCCCTTGGCTCCCTCTACATTCTCACACTGGTTCGAAGGAATAGAATCCCTGGACTGTGCTGCCCAACTCCCTTCTGATGTTTAGATTTCCCCTTGATGTCCAGGCAGGACCTGGGAGGAAACATCCTAGAAATTAACAGGCTACCATCTCCAACTGCAAACTCAAAACAGGAAACAGGACTTCTTCCGGTCTCCACCGCAAAGCTCCCTGCTTTCCAAGACAGTGATTACTGAACAGAGCCTGGTGCACACTCAAGTAACAGATTCCAACACACTTCACCATGTGGATGTGTGGGCCACCTATTCCCTGCCCTCCAGCACATACACATCTTGAACAGTTCAAGTCAGCCCCCGTCTTGCCTCTCTCTTTCTGATCCTGAGGACAGTCCTGGGTGCTGAGGCAATCTGGGCCCTTCAGCCGTGGCTGAGGGTTCTTGGGGGTCTCGGAGATGTTTCCCTCTCTTCCCATCTTCAGGAAAACCCTTCCTCTGGCTGCAAATGGAGTGAAGAAGAATTCCTGCAAAGACAGACAGAATGATATGGGGAAGAGAACTGAGAAGAGGAAGGACCATATGCCAGGCACTCCCTCATTTCATTCTCAAAAGGATGTATTTTCTGCATTTGGCACAGAAAGCAATGGCCATGGAGAATGATTGAAAAACTTGTTTAGGATGAAACAGCTACACATGTGTGATCAGAGGAAAAGAAGTAAGACTCACCTGCAGCCACGGAGACATTCAAGGACTCCAGTCCAGGAGGCAGCTGCCGGCCAGGCAGGATGGTGAGGAGGAGCTGGCAGGAGGCTTGCACCTCTGGGGACAGGCCAGAGCCCTCATTCCCTGCAAAGCACAGGAGGGGGGAAAGGGCAGAGATTAGGGATGCCACAGCTGGGCAGGCAGGCACTCAGGAAATGAACAGGTGAGCACAGAAAAGCAGGAACATCTACCTACCCAGCACTAGGAGAGTAGGCTGGTCCCAGAGGAACTCCAAGCAGCTAGTGATGGGGATCTCAGAGGACCCAGAAATCTCAGGCCCTGGGCAGCCCACCGTGCCAGCCACGAGCCAGCCCTGCCGGGCTTTGGCCTGAAAGGGGAAAGAAATCATATTCTAGCTCACCAAACCTTCATCAGAGCCTTGGCCAAGGAATAGCCCCAACCTTGCCCATATATATAGGTTTACAGTTGTGAGCACTCGAAACAGCTTATTCTTGTGTTAATATTAATTACTGGATTATTTTCCATGTGAACAATTATAAACCTACTTTTGCCCCACCCTGTATGCATTACCTTGGTGAGCCATTCAATTCAGTCAATAATTAATAAGCACCTAGAATGGGAAGACTCTGTTCTAGGCACTGGAGATAGGGCAGTGAACAGCAACCAAAATCCCAGCCTCATGGAAGGGAGGGCCTCACTGAAATGACTTTTTTTTTTTTTTTTTTTTTTTTTTTTTAATATATTTTATTGATTTTTTACAGAGAGGAAGGGAGAGAGATAGAGAGTCAGAAACATCGATGAGAGAGAAACATCGATCAGCCGCCTCCTGCACATCTCCCACTGGGGATGTGCCCGCAACCCAGGCACATGCCCTTGACCGGAATCGAACCTGGGACCTTTCAGTCCGCAGGCCGACGCTCTATCCACTGAGCCAAACCGGTTTCGGCCTCACTGAAATGACTTTTGAGTGGAGATCAGAAGGAGATGAGGAAGCACGATGTAGACATCAGGGGGAAGAATCTTCTAGGCCAGTGGTTGGCAAACTGCGGCTCGCGAGCCACATGCGACTCTTTGGCCCCTTGAGTGTAGCTCTTCCACAAAATACCGACTTCTGCGCATGGGCCACGAAGTTTCAATCACACTGTACATGAGCACCCGCACGTGGTATTTTGTGGAAGAGCCACACTCAAGGGGCCAAAGAGCCACATGTGGCTCGCGAGCCGCAGTTTGCCAACCACTGTTCTAGGCAGTGATCAGTAAATGCAAAGGCTGAGGGGTGGCTGCTTACCTGCTATGTGTGAGGAACAGCACAATAGCAAGGTGGCCATGGGAAGGGAGCCATTGAGACAGGAGAGGGAACAAAGGGCTACATAAGATAGAACCTCCAAGGCCACTGGAAGGACTTTGGCTTATACTATGAGAGAAATGCAAAGGCTTTTAAAAACTCTGAACGCATGGTCTGACTTACGCTGCAACAGGATCTCTCTGCCTGTTGGGTTGACAGCCAATAGCAGAAGCAAGATCAGGTAGGAGGTTTCACAATAATACAGGCAAGAGACGATGGTGGCTTGGACCAGAGTTGTAGCAGTGGAGAGAGAAGTGGTGAGAATATGCAAATAACTTTATGGTAAAACCAAAAGGATGCACTGACAAATGGGAATGGGTGTGAGAGCAAAAAAAAAATCAAGGGCGATGCCAAGGTTTCTATCCTAACCACTGAAAGGATGGAGCTGCCATCGATTGAGCTGGGTCTCCAGAAGGAACAGGGGCTGGGCTATGGACCTGTTCAGTTTGAAATGCCGATTAGACAGCAAAAGAAAGCTGTTTTGTTTTATAACCCCTTTGAGATGCTTTTATTTATTCATATTGGAATCATTCTGGGTTGAGGACATTGAGCAGCTTTCTAAAATCCCATCAACTATTATTTACCTTGCTTTTTTCAAACCAGTGCTGCTAGTTGTTTGAAAACAGAGCTATTGAGTAGGTAACTAGATACGTGAATCTGGGATTTAGGAGCAAGATCCAGGTTAGGCTATACATTTGGGACGCGTTCAAATATAGATGCTACTTAAAGCCGTGAGAGTGGATGAGGCAAAAAGAAAAAGAAAAGAGAATGAATGAATGAATGAATGATAAATAAATAAATATGATATATATCATATATATATATATATATGATATATATATGGAAGGAGATCCAAGAAGTACTGAGACTTGGAAGAGACCTGGAGATGGTCAGTGGAACGGCCACGTGCAGGGCAATACTGCCCCCTTGTGTTCAGCAAGAGAACAGCGGGGGGGGGGTTTCTTTACTTAGGTTTGCTCCCCAAATGTTGTGGGTTTTTTTGTGTGGTAGTGGGGGTTGTTTTGTGTGTGTGAAAGGGAAGAGAGGAAAGGCATAGACTAGTCCTTATTAAAGAGCCTTTCAAGCAGACTAGAAGGAGTCAGTGGGGGGGGGGGGGGGACATATGTAATACTTTCAACAATAAAGTTTTTTTTTTAAAGAGCCTTGCAAGCTATGCTCCTAGGGAGGGACTCGGGACACATTCACTGAAGACCTACTTAGCAGGTACTGAGGCCCCGTGGCAGACCTGGAGCAGGGCAAAAAGGTATGCCTGGAGAAGTGCAGTAAAGGGAATGAGGCTAGGACATCTCCAACTTCAGATTCTGTTCCCCTCATGGTTTTAAAAACCCGGGGAACCTTCCCTCTTCCCGAAGGGATTTAGAGAAGCACAGGAAATGCCAACATGCTCTCTTCTCCCCCTTCCTCCACCAGTTCCTGGTTTAGTGGCCTGAGAGGTTGGGCGTGGCTCATTTCTGCTCCTTCCCGCCACCCCAACCCCTCGGCCCTCACCTGTAAAAAGCCGTCCAGGTCATCGGTGAAGAATATGTCCATCACCTCCATAGCCCCCGCGCTGGCCTTGCTGACTACCGGAGTGAGCGGGCAGCTGCAAAGTGACCCCATGCCCCGTGTCAGGCTGCGTCATCTCAAGCCCGGCGCCCTGTCCTCCCCTCCCCTCCCCTCCCCCGGCCCCCAAGGGTTAGAGATGAAAATTCTGGCGATTGGGAGACCTGCCTAGGGGACCACCAAAGGGTCAAGGTGCTGAGGAACTCGGCTGCCCCTTGAAATTGGGACACACGGGGAATAACGAATGTCCGTGCCTGTTTCTGCGGCTGGTGATGACCTGGTCCACTCCGAGGAAGTGAGCGGAGCGCAGCACGGCCCCGAAATTCCGGGGATCCTGGAGCCTCTCGAGGACGAGCCACAGCTGCTGGGGGTCATCTCCGGGCCTCGCCTCCCCGGCCTCGGTCCAGGGCCGGGGCCGCAGCGGGCTCACCTCCATGCAGACGCCCTGGTGCACCTGGTGGCGGCACAGGGCGTCCAGCTTCTGCCGCCGGGGCCACAGAACCGGAATGTCCCTCGCTTCCGCTTCCCGGAGCAGCTCTGCCCGCTCTCCCCGCATCCCCGACCGGCCGGCCTGGAGTAGGAGCCGGGCCACGCGGCGGCGGGCGGCCCGCAGAGCCAGGAGGCACGGGGACAGGCCGAACAGGAGTTCCCGGCCCCCGGTGGGGCGCGGGGCAGGCGCCAGGTCATCCAGGAGCAGGCGGCTCAGCTCCTCTCCCCCGGGCCGCTCCCCGGGCCGCGCCGAGCGGGAGGACTGACGCGCAAGTTGGCCGGGAAAACGCCAGGTCGCGCCCCTGAGGGCCCGAAGCAGCGCCATGGTCGATGCCCTTAGCTACGTCCTCGAGAGCTGTCGCTCCAGACGGAGCCGGTGGCACCCATCCCGCCTCCTCAGACAAACGAACAGTCCAGACTCCCGGCCGGAAGCTGTCTGAGGCAGGTAGCCGGGCCGCGACCGCCCCCTTCCCGACCTCGCGCGGGGTGCTCCGCTTCCGAGTTCGCGCGAGCCCGCTTCCTGCCCGGACGCATTGCGCATGCTCACCCACTAGGCCGTCCCGACAGCGCCGCCTGCAGGGCTGGCTGAGCAGCGACCTCCACCGCACGGCAGCCGGCAGCTGGCAGTGATCAGCGCTGAGCTGACCCTGCTACTGGCTGCATTCTGCGCCCTTTGAGGTCCCAGGAAGCTGGAGGGTCGCATTCACCCAGACACCAGCAAAAACCACTTTACAGAGATGTGTTCAACTAGGTCAGTCGTGGTGCTTCCCTTCCCATTGGATACTGGTGCTTTTCCTCAGAAGTTTCTCCTGCATCCAGCCCCTCCTCTGAGTTTCTACTGTCTTTTCAAACCCTGAGCACCAGTTAGCAGGACTCAGCAGTCACTTCCTACCCTGTGGCGGCTGAATCTCTAAGCCACTGCTCGGTGCCTGTCCCGCACCTGCTGACAAGCCAACTGATGCCCTTGGCCCACAGGTAATGGCCAAACTCTTTGCTCAGCATTCAGACCTCCCGGGATCCAGGCTTTTCAGCCCCATCTCACTCCTGCACTAAGTTCTGTGCTGTTCCCACAGCACTGCATGCTCTTTCTGGCCTCTGAGCCTTGCACATCTTGACTTCTTTTCTGGCTGGCAAATTCTACCAATTTTCAAGACCCAACCCAAAACCACACCTGCTACCCGAAGGTAATCCACACTCCAGAAGTGAGGCTCTAAATTCACCCACTTTCCACTCACCTGGAAGAAATTCTGAGAAACCACCACCCCAGATCACAAAGAAAGGGGAAGAACTGAAAGACACTCACAAAGCCAAGGTCGGTTGTTACAATTTTTCTTTTTTAATTATTACACTGAAATCCACTTGGGAGGTAGGCCCTGGTATTGTGCTGCCAATCAGAGTAGAGTGATGACCCCCACTGGACTGGAGAACTAGGTGCGGGAAGGGGGAGGAGAGAAGGGATGGAGGGGGCATTGGGGCAGGGAGAGGAGGAAGCTGGAGCCCTCCATAACCACTCAGATAAAAGATGAGGAGTTCCCCCTGCCACCTCATCCCTGAGCAACAGGAGGTGGAGTGTAAGAAGATAGGGGGACGCCACCCTTCTGGCCAAGGTCCTTCCCCAAGTCAAAGGGAAGAGACCAAGGACAGCAAACAAAGGCCAAGGAGCCCAAGAAGGGGACCAAGAGTGAATTAACAGGTAAAGTAATTAGGGACACCACCTCCTCTCCCCAGCCCACTTTTCACATTTGTGGTGGAAACAATTGGACTAGATAGAAAAGACCTCAAACATTTTCAAACCCCTGGGAGGGATGGAGAGAGGAAGTGGTGTCCAGGAATCCAGAAATTAACACCTACAACCCAAAGGTCAGCAGCAAGCTGTGAAGATCCGTGAAGAGAGGAGGGGGCGCTCCCCACAGGAAGCTAGGTCACCTGCTCCGTGGGCCTCATCTGGATGTCTCCGATCTGCAGAAGGCACAAAGGCTTGAGGCAGTCAGGACACTGCCACCCTCTTTAAGGCCTCTCTGCTCTCCTCCTCTGGGGATGGTTGGGCTTCTCCATGGGGTGGACAGCCAATGCCAGACTTACCTGGACATGTGGGGGGGTGCTGAGGACATAGATGATAGCCTGGGCCACATCTTCAGGTTTCAGACACTGAGCACCAGGGAAAAGGGGGATTAGATGAGGACAGAATAGATCCAAGTTCCCTCCCACCACTGAGGTCCTCTCCAGCATCCACATTCCCACCCCAACCCTCTAGGAGTAACGGCCTGGTTAGAAGGACAGGTTCCCTTCCCTCTGCCTTCACTTAGAATGAGGGAGGCCCCACCTTTATGTGTTCATAGGTGGCAGCTGCCTTCTCAGGATCCTTGTCATGAAGTTTGAAGGCGAATTGTGTCTCCACCAATCCTGGAGAGATGCACTGGGCCGACAGAGAGGGCCTGCTCAGGAACTGAGCTTTGCCCAACCCCAACCCCAATCAGAGGCCAGGTTTTGAGGAGGTTGGAGAGAAAGGACGGAAGCCACAGGGCCCCAGCTTCACAAGGTTGGCTGTCCCATGTCAGCAGCTGCCTCCTGGCTCCAAGGCTGCCACTGGTGATGATCACAATGATATCTACCGCCTACAGAGACCTTACTAAAAGCCAGGTAAATGTTTGACAAAATGTTCTCTCTTAGAAAACCTCATAACCTGATTATCATCTCTGTTTTACAAATGCAAAGACTGAGGCTTGGAGAGGTTGAGTAAGTTGCCCAAGGTCATTCTGCCTTCAAGGGCAGAGCCCAGAGTTCTGGTTTCCTGCCACTGTGCACCTGGTTTCCCACAATCCCTTGCTTTCCCTCAGTCTCACCCGCCATGTTCCAGTCAGGCCAGCCCCCTCCTACCTCAAAGTCAGTGAAACAGGACACTCAAGTACTGAGCAGGGCCATGCAAGTAGCAGCAGAGCCCAGGAGCTCTGTGCCCAATATGCTCGCAGGGGTTCTAAAGCAGCACACCCTGGACATGGGCTCCCTGGGCAGCAAGTGTGGGGGTGGAGAGGGCCTGTGCCTACCCCATCCCCACCAGGGCCAGGCCACACCCTCACCGTGGCTCGGATGTGGGTCTGGGCCTCCCGAAGCTCTTGCCTCAGTCCCTCTGTCAGTGCAGTGACGGCATACTTGGTAGCACTATAGAAATGGGCCACAGACTGGGGTACCACTCGGTGGCCAGACATGCTGGGTAGAGGGAGGGAAGGGGAAAGAAGACAGTGATGCTCCCGAGAGACCAGCAGTGCCCCCTGCTGTACCAGTCAACCCCACCACCTCGATGCTACAGGGAAGCCTTCTAAAGGGGACCTCTGGAGGCCATGCTTGCGGCCCACTAATCTAGCTGTTATTCAAGCTGCTCCTGAAAACCCTACTCTTCTAGACATCTTCCCTACAGTGACCACAGAATCCCCTCTCTCGGTCACACAGGCTGTCAAAAATCTCTTAATTTCACCTGCACATTCACTGATATGGTTCTATTGGGAGATCTCTGAGGGCAGAGGCCATGTCTCCCCACTCAGAGTGGAGGCTCCCCAATGATACTGTGTAGTCTTTCTTTGTACCACAAGGTGGGGTTCATTCCAGGGCCTGAGGAATGGAGAATCTCAGTGCCAGCAGAGCCCCTAGGCTTCCACTGCAAAGACAAGGGCTGAGCCACCCATCCCAGCCAACTAGGGGCTGGCACTTGATATACACTATTCTTCCCCTCACCATAATCATGCCATTGGGTGTTAACTGAGTATTAAATCCCTACTTTACCAAAGAAGCAGGTCCAAAGAGGTCAAATAAGCTGCAACAGATCACCCAGCTAGGAGGGTGAGTGGTGATCTGCTCTCTAGCCCTCGGCCACCTGTCTCACCTGTTGATGTTAATGATGTGCCCATCATCCACATTCCGCTCCTTCATGGACTGGTAGGCTTCCCGCGTGCAGATGCTGAGGGCCAACACATTCACCTGCAGGCCAGGGAGGGCAATGGGATGTCTCTAGCTTGGGCCCATCTGAGCAGGTGATGGAGCCACAGAGAACCCCCAGGAAGCATTCCAAAACAGTGCCTAGGTCCTACCAAAGACCAACAACAGACCCAGGGCACTGTGCCTTAGAGGTGCCCCTCCCCCTAAAGCTGCCAGCCCCCGCTGACAGCAGAGGCAGCTTCTCTCCCTGGGTGACCCTCAGGTTCCTGTGAACAGGAATAGAAACCCCCCAAATCCCATACACAACCCAGGAACCCCCTGTATCTTGGCTGTCTCCTCTCCAAATAGTAGAATCTCTGCCTTAGGGAACCATTTCCTTTTCTTCTCCAAATACCCTCTTCTCTGGGACAGTGCCCCTGATCCTGCTCTCTCCTAAACAGCCTCAAATCCTTCCTAAAATGGGTTTAAAAATCTCTCTCCTCAAACACACCATGGCCTCTCCCCACCTTACCCAGCTATTCTCTGCTCCTTTCCTGTCCCCTCCCTTGAGAGTACTAGTAGAAAAGGTCTGATCCTCCTTCCTTTAACCTCTGTTCCATCTACAGAACTAGGCACAGAGACTCTTAAGAAGGTGGGTAAGTTGTCATGGAAGGCAGGGGACCTCCCAAGGGGCCTCCTGCCTTCTGCCCTCTCCTCCTCGCTCTGGCAGAGGTGACACCAAATCCCCACCACCCTTCATGGAACAGAGGCCTGAAGAAGTGTCTCTGCTCTAAAGCTCCGGCCCAGCCCCACCCCTAGCTTTACCCAGGAGGACAAACAGAGATAAAGCTTTCAACAGGTCCTCATGTCTCGCCTCTCCAGAAGAGACGGGACCAGCCGGGAAATTAGATGTTTGTCCTTATCAGGTGTCAGAGCCAGGCATCAGGACAGAACACCCTGGGCGTGAACCTGCCACAGCACTCACAGCAGAAGGACACAGGAGGCTCTCAGCCCTGTTTCTGGTCCTCTTAGCAGTGTGGGTTTGTGGGGCAGAGAACTCAGCTCCTGAGGGCAGAAGGAGTAGGAGAAACAGGTCCCTGGATGTCAGGGAAGTGAATCTCCTAGGTCTGGGGGTTAGGGATGGGAGTGGAGAAGATGCCTCATAGGATGACCCTAATAGAATTGCATAATGTTCAAGCTGGAAGGGGCCTTAGGGATTTAACATAAGTCCCTCACTTTATAGAGGGGCAAGTTGAGATCCAGGTTGAGAGACCCACCTACTGCAGGTGAGGGCCACAACTCAGATCTCCCAGAAGGCTCTGTGAGGGCAAGGAGAGTGCTTCACTTTCACTGTTCATTGTTTTAATGGTCATTGTTCATTTCCTGGCCCAAACACCTGTTAGGTGCTAAAGCTTCTGTGAGCAGATATGAAAAGAATTGTGTGGGGCCCGGCTGCTGTGGCTCAGTGGTTGAACATCGACCCATAAACCAGGTCACAGTTCGATTCCTGGTCAAGGCACATGCCCAGGTTGTGGGCTCGATCCCCAGCGGGGGGCATGCAGGAAGCAGCCAGTCAATGATTCTCTCTCATCATTGATGTTTCTATCTCTCTCTCCTTCTCCCTTCC